TGGGTAGCATGACTGGATGGTGGCAGGGGGAGGAGATGCTGAGACAAATTGCTCTTCTTATGCATGTTCTTTTTCGGGATTCTGGGGAATTTCTCCCAACCAAATGGGATGCTAAGATATCGAATTGTTGTGGATGAGATAGGATTTGTGACAAAAGAATCATCAAATATCGAGTTTCAATTTGGGGTTAAGGGTAAATGAGAGAGAGAGAGAGAGAGAGAGAGAGAGAGAGAGAAAGAGAGAGAGAGAGAGAGAGAGGGTGGGGCCCTTCTTATTTAATTAATTATTAAAATAAATATATTAGTATTAGATTTAAAAAGAAATGAAAGAAAAATAAAAAATAAAAAACTCAAGGGTATTACAGTCATTTTACTATTCAGAGGAACCAAAAACGCAATAAAACTACCTCAAAAGGACTACCAATCCAAAAAAGTTATGGTTTTGATTAAAACCCCCAAAAAATGCATATCACAGGGACCATTTTTGCAATTTTGTCTATTTTAAATAATCGTATGCCCTCCATTGTCATTAATCTCAAAAGTTTTTTTACAAATACATCTTAAAGACCTCCTATAACTTTAATACCGAATAAAAAAACGATATTCAAATTATCCTTTATCTTAAACAATATGACAAATACTATTATATGTTAAATCAAAGTGGAAAACACCCCTGATATATTATATATAGATATTAAATTTATCCATCCTTAGCTACAGTAAAGTAAAGTGGCTAAGGAATGGCAAAAATGGTCCTTTAACTATAAGTGAACAGCCACTTTTCTTTTGTCTATTTCGGCCCTCTCCTACTTGCAATTGTCTAAATTGGTCCCTTATATTTGAACTTTGAAACTCATCTCATTTATTTGAACACGTGTTGCTAGTAATTTTTCTAAGCAAAACCTCCTTTTTATTTATAATTTTCTAAACAAAACCTCCTTATTATTTATTCATTTTCATAAATTTCTTTTTATGAGCATTTTATCATTATTTGTTAGCTCGGAATGATTATGGTGTACACGACTCTTGCTTCCGCTACTATAATCGTTTTGTGGTATAAGTAGGTCTAGTATCATATCATTATTTATTGGTTTGGATTATAGAGTCCATTTAGTATAACTTTTACATAATAAATATATTATTTTTATGATTTTGTGAAAATTTTACATATACTGAATATTTTTATATTACATGAGATTGATAAATCGATGTCTTACGCTTTCTTTTTAAACTTACGCTTACCTTATATAAACTAGAAAGTTCCCCCCCCCCCCCCCCCCCCGCGTCGCGGGGGGCGGAAGGTGTTGCTTTTGCGTCAAAGTAAAGTACATTGCCTAAGTTGTTAGCCACAATAAAATACGTTGCCATTGTAGGAGATTTGTCCATTTACAAACGTGTAAATGTTATAATAAGAAAATACAATCCAATAATTGGATAGAATTTCCACAGGACAATGTGTTAATAAGAAAAGATATCAAAGTGTTGCAGTATGCTATAAAAATAAGAATAAAAAAAAAGAATGTACATTAGCACAACAATCTCCCTATACGGAGATTTAATGACCAGATTCACATTATTAGAATTATAACAAATTTTCTTACCTTGAAAAGCTTAGGAGCATAATATTTAGATCGGTAACATTCTCTCTTCTCGGAAGATTGCACTTATGTTAGTTCTACTTACGTTAGATAAATAAAAAAAAGAAAAAAAAGAAACGTAGCTCCTTGCCCACCCTCGAAATGGCCAAGGCTTTATAATCGGGTATAACTTGGAAGCCGGATTGTGCTGGATTCCTGCATATATAAGCTGACCATACCATTATAAATTAATGCCACAACTATTAGATAACGAAATGATGTATATTAAGGAATTAAGGGCCAGAAAAAGTTGGAAAATATTACCTCATTGCGTTTAATCCGGACAACATAAACTCTGCTACCTGACCTGCACAGTAATTACATGAAAACATTAGAAAGCAAAAACCCATGATAAAATCTGAGCATACACATTCATATCATATGACACACACATACAAAGTGGATCAGACATACACACATCCAAAATTTATTATGCATCAATAAGTACTTTTCAACATCAAAATTCAAATAAATTTTGAAAAAAAGGATCATTAATCATTTCAACTCCAACTCACCCAATAAACAGGATAATCTGAGCGGTTCTCTCTTTTTCTAAAAACACATATCCTTGTCAAAATTGAAAAACATGGATGTCTTGCCTGCAATATATAAATAAAAAGGTAAAACGAATGTTTATATAAAATTAGAATTCAATTTAATAAATATTAAAAAGTAATAAAACAAATCTATCTTGCGGCCTTGACATCATCCGAAGGAGTGTCCCCAATCATGCAAGCATTGCCAATATTTATTGCGATATCACATGGGCGGATACGACTTTTCAACATTCCTATCTAAACAACAAAGATAAAAATCATGATTTAATAGTTTACAATACAAACTTTCATAACATGGACATACTTGTCGTTTAACCTTCAAATGCTCCCCACGACCTTAGAACAACTCAGGCGGCTCAACCTTAAAGTTTCCAACAGGGACAGAGTTGTCATTTCACATTCGCCACTCTTGGTTAAATGTTCAAATACCTTTGTGAAAACTACCACCGAATTCAACGTCTTTTCTTCCTAAAAACATTTGTGAATCAATTTTAAGTAAAAGGAAATCGAAAATTGACCATATAGTAAAATACAAAATTTTAGTGTTATTTAACATTTTCTAAAACCTGTAAAAATATTTTCATATCGTTAGTAATTTATTATACTTTTACCATTTTATATGACCAAAAATGAAAAAAAAATCAAATTTAGACTAAATCATAAGGCATAAACCGATACACATATGGTTGAAAATATTTTCTTACTATGCCTTGTATATAACTTTGATGTTGTAAAATGGTTGTCTTCTAAGTTTCTGCACGCACACGGTCCTGCAAAACTATAATAATTAGCCTAAAGTTTAAAGAATAAGACCAAGTGGAAGTAGAAAATTGTAGAAAACGTAAATACCTTGATATGTTAAAATGTGAAACATATCGGTTTCATAGTATTCTAACAAACAACATTTAATATTGAAGTGCGACATATATACAATAATGTTGTAAAAAGAACATACATGTATCTCCTCAAAGATATCCGGCCATGTGATATTCTTCTCCCGCAAAAAAAAAGGTTTGATGTTACTTTTTTTAATGCAAAAGACAGAATATGAAGCCGACTTCTGAGTTTTCTTCAATTGTTGCCTGCCACATTGCACTTCAGATCTGTAAAACTATGTTCCATACGGTGTAAATGTATTCTACAACAAAATTTCAAAGGGTGAATTTACCTTTTTACATGATTTTCACAGCAAAATGGCCAAGATGCTCTGTTCATCCTGTTGAACTAATGCTTTGGAGGTCCCGAGAGTTTGAATTCCAGCTCTTCTTGCTACCTCCTTCCTCATGATGCTCTCTTACTTCCCCTGTCTCTAATGTGTAAAATTCGAAACATTAAAATTGATTAAGAGAGAAGGCGGAAGATTGAAAGTAAATAATATCAAAAAACTTTAGGATTTCCTTCAACAACTTTTCGTCCAGTACCCAGAACCTCACAACAGAACCTCTCTGTGAGGTTGGAAATGGATTTTTTTTTTCAAAAAGCCATGAAACTACGTTAGTAATAGAGGCGAAGTTTCAGAAGAATTAAGAAATCGCTGACCACGGGGTAAACGAAACTTCGATTGACATCCCCAAATGTTTATGATACAACACAGGTAACGATTTTTTTTCCTTTAAATTCCCCAAAATTTACAGAAAACAGGAAAGAAAACATGGATAAAAGAAGAGAATAATAAAAAAATCCAAAACTAACCTTCATGAAATTGAAGAAATTGAGGTGTACATGAACTAATAGGGATTTAGAGTAGTCTTAGGATAGCAAAACCATCGATGGAATCGTTTGGCCTATCCAGAAAGCCGGAAAATGGAACCATAAGATAAAAGATGGAGAAAGGCGGTGGACGGTGAAGGGGGAAGCCGACTACCAGAGCGGAAATGGAAGAATAAGCGTCGGTTTTATCCCACCGCCTTATAGCAACAGGAGTAAAGGTATGGAGAGAGTGGAGGCGGTGGATTGGATGGCGGTGGCGATGCACGTTAGCAAAATTGATCGGTGGGGTGGGGTGGTTTTAGGGCTTCTAGACGATTTTGATGGGAGAAGAAAAGATTGGATAAGAACAAAGAAACTGAACGACGGATATTTCTTACCATGGTCGAGGAGCGAGCCCGATGAACAGTAACCTAGTTAAAGTGACACACAAACAAAAATAAAAGGACCGGAAATGTAATTTAAGGGACCAAAATTGGCCAAAATGTCTCAGGTTTACTGTTAAAACTTTTCACAACTTTAATATATATATATATATATATATATATAATAATAAATAAATAAATAAATAAATAATCAAGAAGTAGCTCAAAAAGTGCAAAACATCTCAATATCCAAACAACTACCCCATTTTGGGAAACCTCCAAAGAATCAAACAATCCGTTGATACATATTCCTTTTTGACCTTTTTTGTCCACACAGGTCATCTACCCTACGTGTACCCCAACACAGCCCTGCACGTGTCCCATACCACCAGATATTTTCATCCACGTGGTAACCCACAGCCTCCTAGACTGCCACGTTACCCCTTAAAAAGATATTTCGAGCAACCAACTTTTAACATCCTCCTGGACGCGTGGCTGGCAGTCACTTGATAACCTACTTTCTTTCCTTTTAAGCACCAATTAAAACCTCCACGTGTCCATTTTTCACAAATTGAAACCGCCCACGATCATGATTCCAGGAGCAATATCCAATAGAAAAGTAATCATCCAATAATCACCTGACACATTTGGACTAGTATTCTAGTCTCTAGAAATGGTATTGTGCAACTATATATAAGCGTGTAATACCCCTTTTTTCGCCGGAGATCGGATAAAATGAGTGCGAACCAGAGAGTGAGGCTGAGCACGTCCATTAGCGGTGGTTCCGGTTCACACGAATCGGATTTTTTTAACGAGAGAGTGCTTCTGTTAGTTATGGAATCAATGAAATGGGACGTTCAGGTGCTTTGCCGGACGGCGTCAGTGTGCCGGAGACTCCGCGCCATGGCGAAGCGGTTGTTATGGCGGGAGCTCTGTTTGTTCCGTGCGCCGAGGATAACGGAGACACTATCGAACGGTGTTCACAGTAGCCGGATGGGCGGCGGTTGGCCGGCGTTAGCTAAGCTGCTGTTTTTTTGCGGCGATTGCGAGTCTAGTCGGAATTTTGTATTGAGCCGGCCAAAACCGGGGCACTTTGTTACAGAGACCCGGTTCTCGAAAACGTCCGGTCGGAGCTTCTTGATGAAACGGTGTCGTGGGGACTTGTTGTTTGTGAGCGACCCCTGTGAACACCGGGTTGGTGATCAAGAAGATGACTTGGGTGTTTTCCGAGGGGTATTCCGGGGATTTCGCGAGTCGAGGACACGTGCTTGTTTGATAGCGAGACAGGCGGCGTTAGAGGAGCGGGAGAGGTGCCCTTATTGTGGGGCCCGTGTTTGGAGTATGACCACAGCCGGCTTAGTTCCTAGAAATGCAGCTAAGCGGCTCGGCTCACACGACGGCGCACTTGAGTATTTTGTGTGTGTGAACGGACACCTTCATGGCACGTGCTGGTTAGCACCGTTGTCATCTGATGAAGGATTGAACGGTGAGGATGAAGAAGAGTATGCAATGGACGGTAGTGATGGTACCGGAAATAGTTCTGGTGGGGTCACGGATGGATATTATGATGATCCGACGGTCACCACCAATGGTTTTGGAGATAACGGTTTTATTTGATGACATCTGTTGACTTGATCTACGCTATCATTTCGTGGTCGATCTTTTATGTGCACGTATTCCTTTTTATACAGAGCTGAATTTTTTTGTTCCAGATCGATCTATGACCTTTACAGTATTAATGTAAAGTGACTTTGTATTGTTGCTCTGATTTAGCAACAATTTCCCCTGGAAGAGGAAATTCAACAAGATTTTGATCGACGAGTGCAATTATTGTTAGGTTTTGCATTGTTTGGTTGTACAAATTTTGGTAGAAAATTGTAGTTTGGGTTGTGTTATTATGAGGTTGAGACCAGGGAATGTGATGCACCCAATTGCTTTAGTTTTTCTACTTTTTGTATCATTCCACTTTTCCAATTTGTTTTGTTGGCCCTTATTTTATTGTTCCGTTTCATGTGGTGTACCGTGTACGTTTTTGAATTCTCACACTGAAAAAATAATTGTCGTGTTCCACAATTTGTTCCTTCACATATGCACGTTAAGCAGATAAAATCTATAAATAAAATTTTCAAGTTTAAAGTTAGAAATTATTGGTTTTATGAAAATATCACACCATCCTTATTCCTTTCGAATATCGATGACTTGACGACGTCTAAAAATAATGTTTCATCCTTAAAGTAATGTTATTATAAAAATTAAAAATATTATAGAAATCTATCATAACATTTTATGAAAACATCATACCATCATTTCATCGCTCATTATATCGAATATCGATGACTTGACGACATCTAAAAATAATAAAACCAAAAGTTAATATTTGCCATTATTATTATATATATATATATATATATATATATATATATATATATATATATATATTAAGATTGTGAAAAATTTTAAGTGACACATTTTTGGTCTCTTTTCGTCCTCCACTACTTACAACATTGACCATTCACCTTTATGCTTTTGTTCACAAACAACCCTTTAACTTTGGTTTGAATTTTTCATAACCCTCGCATTTTATTACATATTATTAGTATTTCTACTTACAACATTGACCCTTCATCTTTATGCTTTTGTTCACAAACAACCCTTTCACTTTGGTTTGAATTTTTCATAAACCTCGCCTTTTATAACATGGTGTTTTTTTGGCAGAAATGATCCCTCAACTATATTTGGGTCATTTTAAAGTTGCTTCCTTTTTGTCTTTTTCGGTCCCCGTGGTTTACCAGATTTAACACATTGAGGACAACGATGGAAACCGAAATTACTCTTTTACTCCTAATC